AAATAGGCTCAATAAAATCCTTCGGAGAGGGATAGGAAGGTGGCTGGTAGTTTTTAGGAGACAGATAGGTGGGGAACACCCCTGAGGGTTCTCCAGAGGGTTCTCCACCCATCTCAGTGTCCTCATTATTCACTACCTGTTCTTTCCCTGGACAATCTTGTTCGTGCTTGTCCTGCTCTGCCTTCCATTCTTTCAACGTTTCATACGACAATCTCCATGTAGTGGCTAACTCTGCTGCATGCTTGTCCCCTCACGAAGATGCATCCCACATCTTATCCCCCAAGTCTTTCCAGGCTCGTACGCTAAAAGCAACACTCGCATCTGCGGGAAAATCTTGAGCCTTCGTCCATATGAGCACACTGCGTAGGACAAAGTCTGTCATTTTAATGCCCTTGCACTTTAAAAGAGCCTTCCATGTGCCCAATACAGTTTGTTCTACACTGGTCAGGTTATTTCCCATCTTTAACCAGTGGCTAGTCCCCAGTGGCTCACCTTATCCAGGGTGGCAAAGTCGGTCCAGACCAATGCAGATTCCTCTGCTCAATGCTTCACTGGGCCCCGTCTCCGCTGCACATCGCCCTGCAGCCCTCAGGGATGGTCATCAGGATCACGATCCAGTATCACATCGGGGTCACCAAATGTCGCGGTTGAGATGGACACACAGCATAAATAAATCCACAGGAATAATAGTGAAAGGCAAATGCTTCTTTTCTTTATTGCAAGTTAGCTGGTTTTATACCTTTTTACATAAAGCGTGTCTTTTGTCCATTGGATATAACATGTTACAAGCAACCTGTCATTGGCTACAAATGACATAAGCTCACATTTCATTTATCCTCTTGTAAGACAAAAAGGCTTTCTCTTCTTTTGGCTCTTGTTCATCTTTTCTTCTGGTAAGCATGCCTCCTTCGTGCCTCCCTCTAGCTGCTGCAACCATTCAAGGGTACATGATGATAGGCTCAAGGTTGAAGTCTGCAAGGCCTTCAGACCAGCTGTCAGCTCCCACAGCTCCTACAGATCCCACAAGAGATGATTGGTGATGTGGATCTCAGGAGTCTCTTTAGATGTCAGAAGACAGGATAGCTGCATTTGATGGAAATGGAAGCTGGCTTCTTGTGTCAGTGTGTTACTTCTGAAACTCTGCATTGTACAGCTGCCTGAAAAAATTATCTGAAATGTTATTTGATAGTATGTGTTATTGTACTGTAAAAAGTGAAATAGCAATTTTGAAGAAAGATGAAATATCTACAATTTACCAGTTATGTAATGCACTTTCTAATGTAGTCCTCTCATCTGCCTTGGAAAGAGACTCTTAACCTGTGTGATGCTCTCAGACCTTGTAACCTGACACCTGACCCTCTGCACTGGTTGTTAGTGTGATCATTTAGATTAATAAACACCTGATAATAACTAAAAATAATTAAAAGACAAATGGCTCTATAAGTGTTTTATTGTCTCCTCCCAGTCAGCCACCCACATTATCAACCTGAACTTCTTGTACCCACTTGCTCACACCCAACAACTTCAACACTTGGAAATCACATTATACAGAAGAACTACTTCACTAGCATTTAGGATTAGAGTAGGTTGTGTGACTTTCCTAAATCAATCAATTTCCTCTGCTTCCAGAAGACTATCCAGTTGAATGCTAAGTGCTAAAAAAGAGGCAAGGCTTACAGCTTGGAGCATATCACATACAGAGGATGTAAAGGTAGTTTTAGTTTATTTGCAATCCAAATTACCTTTGCAGTTTTGCAGCACCCTCATCTGGACTGATCCTGCAGGATGATCCACATCCTTTGGATGTGTGTTGGGTTTGAGTTTGTTTTGGGTTTTTTTGGCAGGGTGCTGTTACCTCATGTTGTTTGACTCTCCTTTGTACTGAATAGGGTGTTTAATATTTAAAAAGGCACAAAAGGAGCCTCTTACCTGTGCAAACAAAAGGGAGGAGATAAAAAGAGCTTATGCCTACTCATTTTATTGATGTGGGAGTGAGGAGCAAAGCAGTTGATGCCTAAATGCACAGAAAGTTATGTTAGATGTGGGGATTACTCAAAACTCATTAAGTATAGACTGAACTCTAATTCTAAACTAGGTTTTCTCACTAACAGAAGTAAGATTTCCATTTTTGCCATGAGAACTTTTTCTCTTATTTTGTTTCTTATAGGTAACCTGGTGCATAGTGGAAGTTCTGTCCAATGCTCTGGCTAAGCCAAATGCACCACCAATTAATCCTGAATGCAAAGAAATCTTGAAGAAGAGTAAGTACAACATTATCTGAACTTTTGAAAGGAATTTGGTAGATGGTTTCTCTCTTCTGTTGAAGCTGGTGAATTGGTATTTCAGTCCTTGTGAAATTGGTACTTCTGAATTTCAATATCAAAATTCTGATTTCCTTCTGTTTAGTCTGTCTCTCTAAAAGAACAAACAGCCTGACCTGGTAATTGTCAGGGATTCTTGGCTAACTCTTGTGGGTCTCTACATTAACCACATGGGGAGTCTGAGAGAACTTGACAAGCTCTGAAGGTTGCCTGAGAAGTCAACAAATGTGACCATGTTTGGACCACATGCTGAATGCATTCCAGAGGGTAGGAACGGTCTTCCAATCAAATTAATGCAACAATTCCAATCAATAAGGCAACTGAATCTGCACCCAGCTCAGGAGAAGGGAGTCTTGCTCAGCCCAGAAACAGTGAAGCTCGTGGTACTGATTCTGGAGGTCTGGAGATGTGTGCCAAAAGTTCCCAGGAAGAGTGCTCATTTCAGATGAGCGTATTCGTACATCATGGTGCTGAGCTGCCTTGATGGTGAGGTGTCAGCCTGTTTGCATACCTGTTTACTGTCCTGTAGTGAAATGTGTTTTAAGTCTGTGCCAAACTACAGAACACACATCTTTTCTGCCCAAATACTTATTTGATTACAAAACAATAAAAAGGCTCTGGAACTTAACTGCCAGCAAGAAGCAATAGTGAAACCCATCTGTCTTCTCCTTTTTTTAATAAAGGGAATAATGCATGGGCCCTCACACCATCACCAGAATAGGTCAGGGTTTGGGCTTTGGGAGTATATGTATTTGTACCTAACTCAGCCCCAGATTGCTAGGAGATGCTGAATGCCATCAGGCACCAAGCTTTATTTATGACACTGTTAATTTCAGAAAAAATCCAACAACTGTATGTTTGTCATGTTTTGGAAAATGAACAGTTACTGGAAAGAGAGGGTAAGCACCATATTTTTGCCATTAGATCTCCAAGAGTATCAGATGATTTTCAGAAATAATGAGCCATTTTTAAATGTATGCAGCTATTGTTGGAAAACTTTGAGGATTTGTGATTTTTTCTGACGTTACTTAGACTCAAGTGAAGGAGAAATATGTTGTTACCGTTGTGGTCAGACTTTTATTTAGCATTTTGGAAATAGTGGAAGGAACATGATTTGATTAAACATAACTATTGCAAAGCAACAGATTTCTTTAATATTTGTTTCAATCAATTTAGAACTTCTTAAAGTTTTCTAAATACCCCCAGTATTTTTCAGTTGCTTGAAATAGATGGTTGTCTTTTCTTTGTGAATAAGCATAGGTGATGGATAAGGCCTGACATTCAAAGAACCAAACACAACTCCAGATTCCATAGATTTTTAGTGGGAATGAAAGTTAATTAAATTCAATACTAAAAATGTGACCACAAATAAATAAAAATGCCAAAGAGGAAAATTATTCGGGAAATTTCAGGAGAACTTTTAAAATACCTAACTAAATGAAAGTTAGTTAATCTTTTTCCAGGCAAACGTGCAAAATATTAGCAAATTACTGATTTTAAAAGTAGAATTAAAAGATCAATTCTGTCCAAATGTTCTTTGGGAAGTCAGTTGTCTTTTTACACTGAAATAATGCTTCAGTGGAGAGTTGGATTACTCCATTATGCTGCTTATGTTATTATAGGTGGTAGAAATGACAGAGAGAGAAGTGAAAACGAACAACTTGAAGCAAGGTATTTGAAAGATGCAGCAGAGACTGAAAAACATCATGCTGGGAGCATGGAGAAAGAACAAAGTCAGGCAGAAGGGGAACCTAAAAAGTATGTGAAAGGAAGTGATGGGGAGAAACTTGTTCATGAGGATGGTAAAAGCAAGGAAGGGGAGGCTGGACACCACAGCCCTATTCAAGATGAGAGACTTCACACAGAAGAACAAAAACACTCTCAGGAAATTGGAACAGCAGACAAGAAGAACTACCACAGTGAAGAAGAAAGCAAAGAGAATAAGTGTTGTGATGGAAATGTAGAGCATGATATTCGCAACAAGAAGTTGCACTCTGCAGGCACGAACACAGAGGAATTCCGTGATGGGAATGATCACCACCCCATGGGCCACTGGCACTTGGAGGAGGAAATGCAGAACCCTTACAAACAAATTCATGAAACTGAAGAGGGAGAGGCAGAGGAAGAAAGAAGTGAAAAATACCACCATCAGTCTAAAGAGCAGGATTTGTCCAGTCAGAAAGAGCATAAAGAATCTGATGAGAGTGAAGAAACAAAGGAGGAAAAGCAACCCTACAAACCCAGACATTATCATGAGAAGCACAGAGTGGGTGACTCCTATGAAGAGAAGAGGGGCCACAGTGGTGAAAAAGAGGAATTAGCTAAGGAATCAGACACAGAGGAGGCCTATCTCTGGGATCAGTGGAACCGCCATCAGAAACATCATGAAGAGTCTGAGCAACAGCGTGAGGAGGAGAGTGGTTATCATGGGAGGCATGGGACTGAGGAGGTGAAGACGAGGCTTGCAGACCAGGGAAGTGAAGACTATCGAGACAGGTGGCATCAGAGTGAAGAGAGCCATGAAGAAAAGAGGCATCAGCACAGTGAAGAAAGTAATGAGAAATTGCATGAGGAGAGGAGGAGACATTATGATGGATCACATGAGGGAAGGAGGCACCATTCTGAGGGAAGAATGTATCCTGCAGATGAACGTGAGGAAGATCTGGACAGGTATCTTCGCAGTGACAGCAAGGAGAAGCAGCATCATGCTGGAGGGAGATACCACTTATGGAACAATGAAGAGGAAGGGTCACAGAAAGCATATGCTGGAGAGGACAAAGGACAGGCCAGAAGGCACTACAGCATTGATGACAATGTAGAGCAGCGGCACTACCCCAGCAACAGTGAGGAGGAGGAGGAGGACAAGGAAGTAGAAAAGCATCACAGCAGTGATCAGGTGGAAAATGAAGAGAAGGAAAGATATGCAGAGAGGGAAGAGCACATAAGCCCCCTCCCTGTGGAGAATAAGAGAACCTACAGCCCTTTCTACCCACTGCAATGGTGGAAAAGCCAGCTCTTTGAGAAAAGGGACAGTGCAAGAGAACAGCTTCTGGCGGGCAAAGAGGAAGGCAAGCCCACCTTGAATGAGAAGATCCTTTTTCCTGAATATAACAACTATGACTGGTGGGAGGAAAAACAAATCCTAAGTGCTCTGAAACACAGACACACCAAGAAGAGGAATCTTGGCAAAATAAGCAGATATGATATGAAGAGGCAAAACAACAAGATGGATCAACTTGCACAACTTCTGAATTACAGGAAGAAATCAGCTGAATTCCCAGAGTTGTACAGTTCCGAAGAAGACCTGGAAAAACGTTACTTAATTGACAATGACAGAAGAAGTCTAAGCCAGAGGCCTCTGACAGAAGACAAGGTATGTGTATAGGTGTTTCTGTGAACAGCTGGGGGAAGCTGACTTCAAATGCACACTTCTAAATCCATTCCCAAAGCAGCTGGTAAATTCTGCATGAAAAACCACAAGATTAAGTCACACTGAGAATCAGATCTTCAGTGATTTAAAAATCTGCTTTATTTGAATGGTGGAACTTTGTATTTGGTGAACTATCCCACAGCACAGTTTGTAAAATAAAGACATTAGCTTCTGTCTGCTACAAGACATGAAGCAAAAAGAGATTTTCTTCCTCTTTGGGCCCTACCTCTCCCTCTAGGATCTTACAAACTAATAAAGATGCCAGTTGCAGCAGGAGCAGAGAGGTAACTGACAAGTACCACTTGGTCTGTCAGATTATTTAAAATATTTAGCTGAAAAGTAAGTTCGATGTTTAGAGTGAAATCAGTTGTCCATTAAGTTCCCAGCTGTAATTGCAGAGCAGAACCTGGCTTGCACTTATAAGCAAAATTTGTGCATATTGCTTACACCTATGTGAATCTTTATTTATTTATTTAATTTTTTTTTATTTGACTTCCTGTTCTGCTTCAGTATCCAGGAAAACTGAGTCTACACATATCAACTAGATACTCCTTATGTGTGTCACCATATCTATCTGTTGCACAAAGCCGTGCTGGGAGCAGAGGAGGCATAATACTAACAATATGGGTGTTAAACGGTGTGAGAAAGTCATCATAATAAACAAGAACTGGCTGCATAAAGCTTCTCCTAGTATCTGTTATGGTGAAGATGTTCTGTGTTTGTTTCATTATCCTGACCCACTGTGATTGTAAGGTTGTAGCCACCTTCACCTGAGCAAAAGGGGCTGCACACTGCAGGGGGCAGGTATGAGACAGGAGGAGGTCACCACTAGATAGTGGTGCTTTAAATACAAAAAGATTAGTCTGTAATTAGAAGCAGCTCTCAGAATGAGTATTTTGATGCTTCCCCAGCCCCAGTTTGGTCAAAAGCAGGAAACTGCACAAATCTCCAAAGTGTGTGGGGCACTGGTGTTAACACCTCTCAGCCCAGCAGTCTGCCCGGGGATTGGTTAAGTAGCAGGAAATAATGTGTTTTAGAAATGGACTTTTCTCTCATTTTCATGGAAAACATTTGCCAGCATTATTTGCTGTGTAAAATGCTCTTTGTTTTCACAGGAAAAAGCACTGGAAAACCTGGCCATTATGGATTTGGAGCTGCAGAAAATAGCAGAGAAGTTTAATAACCTCAGAAGAGGCTGAAAATGTTTGGTGTTTCAGAGCCAGGTGTAGCTGTACTCACACTACCTGTGTTTTGTGCTAAATTCACTGGCACTGGTCGTTCACCCTAAAACCAGGAAATATTTTACTGTCCACTATAGTGTAGTGATTTATACAGCTGAAAATGTTTTTAAGTTGCTGTTATGCTATTGAGATCTGAATGGCATGAATTTTAGTATTATAACCTCTCATGTGGGCAGATATTTTTAATATGCTTTTGGAAATAATTGTGTTAGTGTTCTTTAGAAACACATTTGTCTGAGTTTGCAATAATAAAATCTATTGATCTTGGACCAAACTTCTCCTTGCTTATTTGATGTTATTTCAAATTTGGGTTATTTCAAAGCTGTATCAGGTGGATAGATTGTGTGTAAAACATTGACACCAATGTTTTTAAGAAGTTACAAGAAGCCTATCTATCTGTGCCTTTTCTTTGCCAGTTAGCATGAACACAAGAGGTAAGAGGGAATGCCAATTAATTTGATCCAAGTAACTCAGGAAATAACGGTGCATTGTTTAGTTCTGGAAATTAGTCATTAAAGAAGCAAAGTGGTTGCAACACGAAATGGATGCTTGTTAATTTGAAAAGCACATGGAGCTTCAGAATTATATATTGTGGATTGTTTTTGCCACTTATTTGGACTAAGTAGCCCCATTAATTTAATCATGTACAGAACAGAGTTTTCTATCATATTCTTTCTGCCTACTGCAGGCATCCAGTGGTGGGACAGGTGTTTCAGCACCCATCTGCGGCACTGAATAGGGCTAATCCTGCACAGGACAAGTTCCTTGGCAGCCAGCAAGCTGGGGGCAGGGTGGATTCTGAGTAATAAATGCTGCTAAGCCTTACATGAGGGAGGGAGGGAAGTGTGGAAGAACCCATTTGGTGATCTTACCACACTACAAAGCAATAAAATAAATGATCACATAGTTAGTTTCCGTTACTCTAAATACGTGGGGTTCAATTTAACCACTTACCTAAATGTGGTTTCTGCAGCCCGTCTGCTGTGCCAGTGTCTTCATATTCATGTGCCCCCAACCACAGATGCCGAAGGATTTCCTAGAACTCTGCAGGAATCCATCAGATCCCGGGAGCACTCCCTCCTCCAGTCCTTGGTGCCCTCCAGCATCCCGCTTAACTGTGTCTGTGGGACTGCTGCCCCAGGAGCACTTTGGCTCTGGGCAAGCAGCATGCAAGGAGCAGCTGCACAAGTTCAGAGGAGAAAGCAGAGTCACCATGGCACACCAAGCACAACTGGCATGCCGTGGGCTGGCAGGAGAAACATTAATATGCTCAGCTCACTGCCTCCCCGGGACCACACTGGTGAAATCTGAAGAATTATCCTTGCCCAGGCAGCTCTCGGGCAGAGAAG